CTCGCCCTCCGGGGGGAGGGGGCCACTCTCCCCCCCCAGCCGCCCCCCCGCCTCCATCCGCCGCAGCACCCCCTCCACGCGCTGCAGCTCCCTCACCACCTCCTGCCGGCCCTGCTCCTGCTGCGCCTCCACCAGCCCCAGCAGCTCCTCTTCCTCCTGCCGGATCAGCCGCACCAGCTGCTCCACGCGCTGCCGGATCAGCTCCCGCATCTCCTGCTGCACCTGCTCCAGCCGGACGGCCTCATCCTGCAGCGCCACGTAGGTGGCCTCGAAGCTGCTTCTCTTCTGCTTCAGCTCCTGGCTCATGATGCCCAGCTCCTCCTGCCTGCGCTGGGTCTCGCTGTGGATGTCGCAGAAGGGGGCATGCTGGCTGTCCAGCATCGCGCACAAGCAGCACAGGGGCTTCTCACACTTCCTGCAGTAGATGCTGTGAGGCCAAGCACAAGCAGAGCAGTAATTCAGACCATGCACTTTGCAATTAATTCCTTGATCCTATCGCAAGTTCATTCATTCATTGAATTTAAGTTGCCACCAAGTTTGGGCCAGGCGTTTGGTTTTATACTCTCCCAATTGCAAAAAAAAATGTTGGTTCACTATTTCCACAGGGTTTCTGCTCCTCTGCTGGGCTGCCTAAAGTCACTGCGGTGACTCTGCAAGCGTTACAGTAGACATTCATCCACGCGCCGCACGGGCAGTGAAGAAACGAGCTCTCTGCCCTTCCAGGATTGCTTATTGGGGTTACGTATAAGAACGTAAGATCAAAGAGTATCTTATCTCCATAAGGTGCCTAAGGCCAGACTATAAGGAGTGGGGAGTGGAGATCATCATCCATCCCTCATATAAGTCCTGGTAGCCTTGGCAAGTGGTGGGCTAGGGACACGCTGAGGCATCTGGGCCATCGTGGCTAGCATCAGTGCTGGCCTCCACGGATGCTCCAGCCCTTTCCCCTCTCGCTTGGGCTTTCCCCTGAGGGCATTTAAACCTTGTCCTGCATTGCACCCATGCTGTTCCCCAAGTCCTCTCCAAGCTGGCCTAGCACCATCAGCAAAACACACCCTTCTCTGCTGTCCATCACGGCAGCTGAAGCAACGGGCCACCTTCTTGCTGAGCTCCATCAACCTCACCCTCCTTACCCTAGCAAGGAGCCCCCCCACACACTCCCCTCCCTCGGTCTACCCTGTCCCCCATCATCAACCCGGCTTCATGCTTCATCCCTTCTCTGCTGTCCATCACGGCAGCTGAAGCAATGGGCCACCTTCTTGCTGAGCTCCATCAACCTCACCCTCCTTACCCTAGCAAGGAGCCCCCCACACACTCCCCTCCCTCGGTCTACCCTGTCCCCACTCTCCCATCATCAACCTGGCTTCATCCAAACCCTCCCTCCATGCCCTACAGCCCACCAGTCACGACTTCCCACCCATCTTCTCCATGATACGGTGGCAATCAGGGCAGCAGAGGGACAGGGACGCCCTGCTCAGGCCCATCATGGACTAGCCCAAAGAGATCTGTGACAAGAAACCACCCAGATGGGGACAGACTTCCTTAGACCTACCTTACAGTCTGGCTCTTGTGGGTCGGGTTGGAGCAGGAGAAATGACCGGTCCTCCTGGTGCCCTTGATGAAGTCCTTAGCAGACCCTGCCCTGATGTCCATCACCCTCTTGGCTTCATGGCTCTCCCTCTTCAGGTAGCGCTGGTGGGTCTGGAAGCACTTGGTGCAGAGGAACTCCTCGCACTCAGAGCACCAGAACTCGCTGGCTTTCTTGCAGTTGTCGCAGAACAAGTCAACTCCATCAACGATCTTCTTGTAGACCTTGAGCCGGGCCTGCAGGCTGGCGAAGAGCAGGTTGTCTGTGTCGGGCATGTCACTGGCCTGCGGGATGGCTGTCTGGCACACGGGGCACTGCCCAAGGGGCTTGTTTTTGCTCAGGCAACCGGGGCACAAGGTGTGGAGGCAGGTGAGGAGCTTGAGGTTGGGTGATTCCTGCCGGCAGCCCTCGCAAAGGGTGAACTGGAAGTCATCTTCTAGGAGCTTGGGGAGGGAGGGAGGAAGAGGAATGAGCACTGGGGTGTGTTCTTAAGAGCTTCTGAAACCACATCCTGCAAACTCTACTTGTAGCAACAAGTGAGCAACCACTTCCCACCAGCGATGCCCAGGTCCTGTAAGCAGGCCAGAGATGGCCCGTGCCCCGTGCTAAGGTTGGATGGACGGGGCCCTGCTAAGCGCTTCCTCTCCCTCCAGCAAAGAGCAAACAGGACGGTCCCCCCGGCTATGGGGCTGGGGAGGGCTGCAGAGGGGCAGCGCAGAGGGGGAAGCACCTAAAGACCCCTGGATGACACCCTGGCAGGGTGGGCACCATCCTCCCAGCCATCCCTCCACCCACCTCCCTCGCTCAGCCCATCCCTCTGGCTTCCTCCCTCCCTCCCTCCCTCCCTCCCACATCTGTGCTTTCACAGGGCTGGGGGGGCTGCGCTGGGGACCAGCCCCGGCTCCCTGCCACCCGCCAAACCGGGGAGGGGGGGGAACACCCCAAAACTCTTATCCCCATTGCCCCCCCCCAGGCCATGCCTTGGGGCTGGGGACTCCCTGGTGGCCTGGACACCCCACGCCTCTCCAAGAGCCCCCCACCAGCCCCATGCACCGCCAGAGCCCACCGCCCGCATCCCCTCGGCATCCATCCCTGGAGCAGCCGGCGCTCACCCGGACCCGGGAGCTGCAGCCGGAGCCAGCCATGGCGCTGCGGGCAGGACCAGGAACTCGCTGCCTGCCTGGGCTGCTTGCACTTTCGTTTCTTCTGAGCTGCAAATAACTCCTCCTTCGCGTCGGGCGCGGGGGTGGGGAGCTGCGCAGAGCCCGCTGCCAGCCCCGGCACCCCCCCAAAACCCCTTCCTGGCCAGCCAGGAGGGAAGAAACCCAGAGGGGACCCCAAGAGCCCCCCCCCGCAAAAGGCATTTACCCAAGGAGCAGCATCCCTCAGGAAATGTACTGGAGGGCCCCAGTGCCCTGCTGTGAGGGGGCTCAGGGACTCTCCGTCCCCTCCTTGGAGAGCATTTCCATATCCATATCTGGCTGGACGGCCGGGCCCAGAGAGTTGTGGTGAATGGAGTTACATCCAGTTGGCGGCCGGTCACGAGTGGTGTTCCCAGGGGCTCAGTTTTGGGGCCGGTCTTGTTCAATATCTTAATCGATGATCTGGATGAGGGGATCGAGTGCTCCCTCAGTCAGTTTGCAGACGACACCAAGCTGGGCGGGAGTGTTGATCTGCTCGAGGGTAGGAAGGCTCTGCAGAGGGACCTGGACAGGCTGGATCGATGGGCCCAGGCCAACTGTATGAGGTTCAATAAGGCCAAGTGCCGGGTCCTGCACTTCGGCCACAACAACCCCATGCAGCGCTACAGGCTGGGGGAAGAGTGGCTGGAAAGCTGCCCAGCGGAAAAGGACCTGGGGGTGCTGGTCGACAGCCGGCTGACCGTGAGCCGGCAGTGTGCCCAGGCGGCCAAGAAGGCCAATGGCATCCTGGCCTGTATCAGAAATAGTGTGGCCAGCAGGAGGAGGGAAGTGATCGTGCCCCTGTACTCGGCACTGGTGAGGCCGCACCTCGACTACTGTGTTCAGTTTTGGGCCCCTCACTACAAGAAGGACGTCGAGGTGCTGGAGCGTGTCCAGAGAAGGGCAACGAGGCTGGTGAGGGGTCTGGAGAACAAGTCTTATGAGGAGCGGCTGAGGGAACTGGGGTTGTTTAGCCTGGAGAACAGGAGGCTCAGGGGAGACCTCATCGCTCTCTACAACTCCCTGAAAGGAGGTTGTAGCGAGGTGGGGTCGGTCTCTTCTCCCAAATAACTGGCGATAGGACGAGAGGAAATGGCCTCAAGTTGCGCCAGGGGAGGTTTAGATTGGAGATGAGGAAAAATGTCTTTACTGAAAGAGTGGTTGAACACTGGAAGAGGCTGCCCAGGGAAGTGGTTGAGTCCCCATCCCTGGGGGTATTTAAAAGACGTGTAGATGAGGCGCTTAGGGACATGGTTTAGTGGGCATGGTGGTGTTGGGTTGACGGTTGGACTTGATGATCTTAGAGGTCCTTTCCAACCTTAATGATCCTATGATTCCCTGTTTGTCCTGGGGGGCTGGCTGTGTCCTGGCTCTCCTTTGCCCCTTCCTGCAGGGCATCAGTACCCCCCAGCCATCTGCACCATGGGGACCACCGTGAAAGGGGGACCACCACAAAAAGGGGACCACCACAAAAAAGGGGACTACCATGAACGGGGGACCGCGAGGAGCACTTGGGGTTCACTCAGCCTGGCAGCCCCAAAAGGAGAGGGCATGGTGGGGCACTATTGTCACCTCCCCTCGGGGCTTTTGATGCCTGTAGGATCTGCAAAGCTTGGCCCAGGCTGGTGCCACCCAGCCCCAGGCCTTGAAGAAGACATTTGGCAGGTGGTTTGGCCTGAATGCACCCATGAAACATTTCACTTCAAAACATTTCCATTCCGGAAACATTTCAATTCTCCTTGCCCCCGCCCCCCTGGCAGGCAGCCCCTTGCATAGTCAGGCTTATCCCACTGGTCCAGCAAAACGTCCTGGGGGCTGATAAAGCTGCCTGGATCTCCCAGACATTTTAACCCCTGGAGAGCTGGGCGCTGTAGGGGAGCTGAGCATCCCCGGAGAGGCCGTGCTGCATCCTGACAACTCTTCCTCGCCGTGACAGGACTTCACGTGTTCATCACGACCACATGGTGAGATGGGCTCACACCACGCAGCCTCCTTGACTGGCAGCAGCTCCCACGTCCTGGCCAGCACGTGGCCTCTTTATACAGCACCCTGGGTCCCTTGGGGAAACTGAGGCACCAAGGGCTGCAGCCCCGTCTGCCTGCAGAAGTCATCAGCCCATCGCTGCCCAAGCGCAAGGCTGCAGGCCAGGTTTATTGTCCGTGGAGAGTTGACAGAAAGGAAGCTTACAAAAGAAAGAAATATCTACACACACCTATATACAGTCCACACGCCCCCCGCGGACAGACCTCACAGCACGCATGCAAAAGCACTTTGAAGCACAAATTAGAGCAATGACTTCTCACAAACCGCTGTGTCAGGAAGGCTCAGGGACCACCAGGAAGCTCGTTCCCCAAATCACCACCTCTGCTCCTTCCCCATAAATGCCAGCATCCCGTCAGCAGTGCCACGCTGGACCCCAACCCCAGCTCGCTGGTGGCATCCCAGCCTGGTCCAGCCAGCCCTCGTGCCCCGCTTCGGCTGCCCACCCCACCCCACCCCACGACTGCCGTCCTTGGCCACAGTGTCCCCAAGCTCTTCCCAGTCCGGTCTGCTCAGCTCATGCCCCTTCCAGTCTGAGATGCCTGGCCATGCAGCCCGTTGTGGGGGCAGCAGGACGTCAGTCTGTGCCCTGGTGGCATATTGGCCAAGGGACCTGGAAGCAAACTGGCATATGCTGGGGTGCCAACTGGTTCCCATCCCATAACGTTGTAGGCAAAGGATGGGCAGGGGAGGTAAATCCAAGGACAAGGACAGGCAATGCAGCTCAGCTTCAGTTTCCCTGCTCAGGTCTTCACCCAACTCCCGCAGCCTCCACGGGGAGGGCAGCAGGAGCTCCAGCAGGGCAAGGCCCCCGCCGCTCAGCACCCCTGTATGTCCCCTGCTTTTGCACACCTACAAAGACACATGCACACAGACACGCACCCACACGCATGCTCTATCTACGTTGCTCCATCGCCTTGACGAGCTCCTCCAGCTTCAGGGCAAGGTGCAGGTCACCTTTCACCTGCAGCCTCCCACTCATGTAGGCACTCAAGGGGCGCAGGTCGCCCAAGAAGAGGTCCTGCAGGTCTTTCTCTGCCACCTCCAGAACGACGTCGGGGCTGCACTCGGGCACGCCACAGCCAGCTCGCCCCTTGCCTGTAGGACACGATGGGTGGGAGAGAGAGAAACAGCGGGCTTCAGGATCCAGCCTTGCCTGCTGGTGTTTCCCCCACTGTTTCACATGGGTTGAGTTGGGCCGGATGACACACAAGGGCCTGGCATGGAGATTTTGGAGACAGGAGTCCTTACTCCTTATGGAGATAAATTTCTCTTGCGTTGCTCCACCAATGTCCTGTTACAGTGGTCTACCTCCAAGCCCTGTCCTACTTTTGCCATGGTGCTGGTTTTGCCTGGGATAGAGTTAATTTTCTTCATAGTAGCTAGTATGGGGCCATCACTCCAAACGTCCCCCCCTTCCTCCTTCTTCCCCCAGCTTTATATACTGAGCACGACGTCATATGGTGTGGAATATCCCTTGGGTGGGGTGGGTGAGAGGCAGAGAAGGCCTTGATCCTGTGTCGGCACTGCTCAGCAGCAACAAAAACATCCCTGTGTTATCAACACTGTTTCCAGCCCAAATCCAAAACACAGCCCCGTACTAGCTCCGGGGAAGAGAATTAACTCTATCCCAGCCAAAATCAGGACACGTGGCCACCAGGAAAACCATCAGCACCCCTAGGGGAACAGATTAGGGTGCTGTGAGGACATCTGCCAGCGTGGCAGTGGCCCAAGGCGCTGCCCATGCATGTCCCTCCATCACTACCCCTTTGGGCTGGTGGCATGCAAGAACCAACAAACCTTGAGGTCTCTGAGCCATCCCACTTGGCCAGCCACGAGGAGACCTAGCTGCCAATTTTCTATCCATACTCTCTTTCTGAAGGAAAATTCATGGTTTTAACCCAAAACAAATTATACCTTGGACTTTCAGGGAGCATGGACTCAAGGCCACGGTCGCCAAAATGCAGTGCTCGGCTGATAGACCCTGGGGTGCCTTTCATGGAGCTACCAAACAGACTTGGTTTGGGACCCCCTACCACCAAGCTCGGTGGGGTTTGCAGCATGCAAAGGGGGCACGGGCACGAAACACCCTCCCACCTCCGACACAACAACCCCGAAGAGCGGTGACCTGAGGAGAGGTCTATGAAGTAGGTGCTCTGGGCGCCGCTGGGCAGGGCGATGTTGACCTGGTAGGATGCTCCCACCTGGCTGACCAGGGCCTCGGAGAGGATGGGCTCCACCGCCGAGAGCAGCTCGTCTGCGCTGGGCTTCCTCCGGGCGCTGCCGGCGGTGGCGAGGAGGGGAGCGGTGGGAGGCTCCACCTCGTTCACCGTCTCCATGCTGTCTGCTGGGGACAATGGGACAGAAGGGGGTTGAGGGGACACCTTCGGGTAGTGAGCTTTGCTGGTCTGCATGGACCCACCAGAAAAGGTCTCCAGAGCAAAGAAACCCACTTATCCAGCAAGTTTCCAGCTAAGCAAGAAGAGGACAACATGGTTTTGCCAATTCCTACTGCCTGCTCTTCTGTCTGCCATGGGTTACTCTTCCCCTGCTACCAGGGGGTGGAAAATCATCCCTGAAAGAAATAGCGAGGCACAGATTGGTGCAGGGTTTCTGGAAAAAATTCCATGTTGTCCTGAGATGCGACTCTCTCGGCAAGCTCAGGCTTGGGTTTGCCTGGCAGAAATGCTGAGCTCTGAGTTGGTCTTCAGCCCAGGGTCCTGCAGAGCTGCTCCTGCCCTCCCCAGTCCCATCTCCAATGTCTTGTTAGAAAGGTTGTGTTGTGCTACACGCCGTGTGGAGCTGTGCCCGAAGCAGTCCTCTCTCCTCCTCCCTACCAGCCTCTTTGTGCTGTGCTTGTAGGAGCGTGATATCTCCCAGATTTGGACTCCTCTGTCAAACAGCCAATGGACACAAAGGTCATTGGGCAGGAGGGACATCCCCCAGCGCAGAAGTGATGGCCTTGGGTTGGTTACCTGCCTCTGGAGCGCCAGTCCCGCTGCCTGCCAGAGCCAGGGTGTTGCTGAAGAAATGGGCAGCCAGCTGCTGAACGGTGCCATCCAGCCCCTCCAGCCCGGGCACGGGTGGCATGGTGGCCAGAGGGCCCACCAGGTTCTCCCGGGGTGGCTGCAGCACTGCCTCCATGCTCAGCTCCACCCGGTCCACCTCCAGGCCCCAGGACTTGGTCATGTCGTTAATCTCCAGCTGCCGAGCCGGGAAGAAAGGGAGAGGTGTTGGCAGCCCAGGCAGAGCTGGGTATGGCCATGGAGACCACCCACAACAGCACCCCCCACCATGGGCATTCCCATAGCTTATACTTCTGCTGCCCACCAGCTTTAAACGCAGGGTGTTGAACCAGGCTCAGTAGTCCATCTCCTCCAAGCTGCCCACTCTCACTTTCAACCCTGCTCACCCAGGTGCTCTCCCAGCTTGGAGGAGGTCGGGACAGGGAGGACAGCTCTGTCTCGGTCCCCTTTCTGTGGCTCCCTCCCAGGCTGGCCTCTTTCCTCGCTCTCCCCTGGGCACTGCGGCCTGGCATGGTGCTCCACCAGGCAGCACCTCTGACCTCCAAACTACCCCAGACACCCCAGAGATACCAGTATATCCCCCCCAGCCTCCTTTTATATCATCCCTTGTAGACGTTCAACCCACAAGCTCTTGGCCTGGCCCAGGTCGGCTGCGGGCACTAGTCACTGCCCCTCTGCCACCGCCCTGTCCTGCTTCTCTCCCCAAAAGCCTTTTCCAGTTTGCAGCCCCCTCCAGACATTTTCCTGGTGGAGATATGGAGGCCAAATTTAAGCCTGCTGACAAAACGTGGGCTTTTCTGCGTGGCCAAAGCCCTTCGAGATAAGCCACAGAGCTCCAGAGACCCACAGGCTGAAGGCATCTGCTCCCCACTAATCACCACCTCTTCCCAGCTCTCCTCCTTGGCCAGGTCCATAGCCAGGTGGACTTCCAGCAGCTACAGCTTTCCCTTACTCTTACGTCCACACCAAGAGCCCGAGGGTTTGCGGGGGCTCTGCGCCAGGCTGGGGTAGTGCTCACCAGCAGCTGCTCCCCGATCCTCAGCTTCTCCACCTGGATCTCGCGGAGGCTCTTCTTCACCAAGGTCTTGGTCATGGCGTTCTGCGCTGTCATCCGGGTGGCTGCGATGAGGTCCTTCACCATCATGACGGACAACACGGGGTCCCACACCCGGAATTGGACGTCGGCGCCCATGGAGATGACCGCCCCGTCCTTGGAGGTCAGCTGGGGCAGAGGGGAGTCAGGGTCTTTCCCCCTCTTCACCCCGTGGCCCAACCCTTGTGCATAGAGCCTGAGAGCAAAGGCATGCACTTCTTTCCCAGCTGGCAACCGGCTCTAGCTCTCTTTATTAAGAGGGTTATTAGAAACAAAACCAACCCAAAGGATGAAGTTTGGGCTAGTCTGAATGGTGAGGCCAGTTTCCAGCACGGGGCTGTTATTGAAAGACATCTGGGAAGGATAGGGATTGATGTTTTTGAGATGTCTCCAGCCAGGAACGTGCATTGGACAAGGTGTGCAAAGTCAAGAGGAGCTTTTCAACTGCGGGCGGGTGAGGACTCTGGGTTCACAGCACCAGCTACGACTCCCCTCGCCTCGCCGTGAGGATGGAGGAACTGAGAGTTGGGTCCATGCATGGCACCAAGGGTCAGGCTATCCCAAAATCCACCTGCTCTGGGCATTTGAGAGATGTCTCTCCATACTGCCCTGAGGCCCAAGGCAGCTCACCTTGCAGGGGGGCACGTTGAAGGCCCTCGTCCTCAGATCCACTCGCTGCCAGTGATCAATGAAGGGCAGCAGCAGGACCACGCCGGGTCCCTGCGGCGCCCGGATGCGGCCCAGGCGGAAGATGATCATTCGCTCGTAGGTGGGCACGATCTGGAACGGGAAAGTTGAGACCAAAACCCCGGGTCCTGCGGTGCCAGGAGCAATGGGGCCAGGGGCAGCCGGGAATGGTCCCCCCTGCGGAGGATGGGTTGTCATCCCACTCCTCGCCTGCTTTCCTCCCTTACCTTCAAGGCAAACCATCCTGAGATGGGGAAGGTGACAGCCATCAGCAAGAAGACCAAGGAGGTGATAATCCCATGGCAGATCCAGGACAGCCAGCCCTGGGAGGAATCTGCAGGGGGGTGAAAGCCCGGCAGAACCAGGACAGCCAACCCTGGGAGGAATCTGCAGGGGGGTGAAAGGGGGATGTACCTGCTCCAAAACCCCCTTCCCTGCCCATGAACCCCCACCCAAGCCTCTCCCCCCATGCACCCTGCACCCCAGGGAAGCCGGCTGACCAGGACAGCCAACCCTGGGAGGAATCTGCAGGGGGGTGAAAGGGGGATGTACCTGCTCCAAAACCCCCTTCCCTGCCCATGAACCCCCACCCAAGCCTCTCCCCCCATGCACCCTGCACCCCAGGGAAGCCGGCTGTGTGGGGGGGGGAAGCCAGCCAGTGCAACACCCTACAGCAAAAGTGGCAATAGAGAGAAAGGCAGCAGCTCTTCTCTAAGGTCGGGACTCACCTGCGGTATTCCCGGCCGGCCCCAGAGGGTCTTGCTTGGATCCGAAGGAGAAGCAGCCCTTCTGGGCACCGTAGAGCCCAATGCTGGACTGCTGGAAGCGGTCAAAGTCTCCCAAGGGAAGGGCCTGGTATCCCGACCGGCTGAACATGGTGCTGGTGCCTTGCACAGCACCCCGCTCCCAGTGCTCGGCGCCCTCTGAGCCCGGCTCCCCGCTGCCATCGCAGCCACCTCTGTGGCCAGCACGGCTTCTGCCTGCCCCTGACCCGATCCAACGTCCCTGCCCGGCTGCCTGCAAACCTCCCCGCCCTGTCGTGCAACCGGAGAGACACCGGAGAGGAGCTGATGAGCCCTGCTGCTATCACGGAGGATGCTTGCTAGAAGAAATCAAGTCCTTCAGGGGGTTTCCTTGCCGGGGTCTCACCCAGGCTGAGGGGTTCACATCTTCCCAGCGACCCTCTGGGCAGTGGCCGAGCCGGGAGACAAAAGCCACGGCCCCACAGCCACCCTCCACATTGCACCCCCTTGGAGCTGGGAGATAACCCTGGGGTGTCCCTGGCCGCCAGCCCCGTGGCTGGGGGGACCGGAGGCCGCGGCGAGGATGCTGCGGCAGGGAAGGAGGGAGCCGCTGGCGCTTCCTGGTCCAAAGCTGCTGACGGCTCAGGGACGAAACGGCTCACGGCTCACGGCTCACGGCTCGGTGAGTTTTTCTGGAGAGGCCCTGCAGGGGAACTGCTACACCAGCCATGGGGAGGACAGCATCCTCCATCGCACACATACCTTGGGGGTCTCCAGAGGGTACCTCAGCCCCACGGGGAACCGGGAGAGGTATTTTTCCCAGTGATTCCTGGCTCCGGCGTGGCCTTTTCACCGTGCCAAAGGCCCCCCACCCCATCTCACCGGCCTGCAAAGGGTAGTGGGGACCGAAGAGCAGCCCAGAGAAGCGCTGCTGAGGACGGGGGGTGGCAATAGGGCAGGTTGAAAGCCCCCTCTGGCTGAAGTGGGGGCCTGAGACACTGCC